GTATTGTAAATGTTAATAGAAACAGTTTTTAGTATTCATCTTTGATTTTGTCAAAACAAATCTTATAAAATCGGTGATGTCAAAATTTGTACGTAAAGTCTATCTGTACTAAAAAAAAGGTAGATTCAAAATTCTTTGTTAAATTTCTTTTCTTCCTTATCTAATTCATTCTTATTATCTAATTGTATAGAAATCTGTTCTGATTTTGTGTAATCCTCTAATTGTATTTGTATCATATCCGATAAAATCGGTTTAACAAAAAAAATTTCATAACATCCGATAAGTAAAAAAAAGTACGTAAAATCTTTATTAAAATAAAAAGGCTTTATTTATTATCTAATTGTATGGAAATCTGTTCTGATTTTATATTACGTACTACAAATTGTGCACCCGTATTCAGGAGCTACTTAACCGGCAAGCTATGTGGAAATAACTCATTTAGTGCTTCTGTCCCGTGCATACGGTATATATTTGTATTACACATACTAGAAAATTGTGCACCCCGTGCATCGCACGGACTCTGTACTAGTAAATGACCTTAAAATTGTGCACCCCGTGCATCACCCGTGTTCACATTTTGGCCTATTACAGGTCACGTACTATATATATCCTGTACATTTTTCTTTATTCATTTATATAATTATAAAACTTGATAAATAGCCTTAATTTTGTGCACCCCGTGCATCGCACGGGATCTGTACTAGTTTGGCTAGATATATCATTGCACTAATAAGCGATTAAAATTCTAAATTATGTTAAATGAGATTTTCGTTTGATTATATTCCAAGCAAATCATTAGTATTTATCAGTAGGATATTTTTTTCAAACCCTTATCCGATTAGTTACTTGTGTTCTATATATATATTTGTAACAACCATTAATATTTTGGATAGCCTGGATTATATGAATCAATAAAATATAAAATATATCTATATAAATTATAAATATAAAATTGATATCAAATAATATTTTAATTTATGTAAACTTCCAATCGGATCAATATAATAATATATTATTGAAAACCATGGATTTAAGTAATAATCCGAAAAATTGTGAAAACCTATTTGATTGCTCATAAAAGAGTGTGATTAGAACGTGCATTTCGATTTATTGCAAATATATGGTATATATTCTTTGATTTGTTGCTTGATTTGTAGATATATTGTTTTAACAACCAAGGATATTTTGTACATATTTTTTTATTCCAACCAAATATATTTAGTATTTTGGATAGTGTGAATTCTTTGAATGATTCAAATCTTGGTATATGGTTGTAGATTTAATTCAATTTCATATAGTGGGCACCATAAACCATGCCACAATATCTGTGGCATGTGATGTGACTTTATTAATTAGATTTATCAATTCCATGACAGATATTAGGTGGCTTTTTTAGAAAAACTAATTCAAACCAAAATCAATTTATAAACTGTTCCCAAAATCAATTGTCGTTCCCCCAAATCCACTTCAACGTCACACAACCTCATTCACCGACGCCACCGCTATGGCCACAGTCGAGAGCTTTTTGCGGGATTTTTCCTGCGAAATGCTGGCCGCGGCAGTCTGCTTTGGGGGGAGAGAGAAGTTCGAGCAGTTGGGGAAAGGAGGAATTCGTACCTCGAATTTAAGCTATCGGGGAGAAATTCGTAGAGCTCGTCATTGGATAGGTTGAGGTCGGTGGCTTTAATCACATGCAAACAAACACAGACAATAGAAAAAGCAACCAAAGCCCTCTAAATCAAACAGAAAAAGATTCGATCTTTAACCATGAAATCGACTTTTGCTTACAAAATTAGCTCATGAAAAAAATAAAAAGCCAGGAATTGATAGAACCCAAGAAAATATTATCCCAAATGATGGGCTAAATTGTTGACTCAGAGAGTGAAAATGGAGCAAATATGTGCAATTTTTTTTTTTTTTTTTTTTACCTTTATTCACTTCATTACTCTCAGCCATAGGCCGCCCCTCAAAAATTGAAATAAAAAATTGGTAAAAAGGAGAAAAGGGAGTCTTTTTGCATCAAGTATTATTATTAGGTTGTTAAAGTTGTTAAAAAAAGGCAAAAAAAAATTGAATTGATTATCAAAGATGTTTCTAAAAAAAAGGGATAAAACATTATCACCATCACATTCTAACGGATTACCAAAATTTTTGAAAATCATTATCACATGTGTGTTTTAGAATATTACTTATAATAGTAAGTCAACATGGTTGACTCACTAATCTTTAAAAGTTTCCATAAATGATTTATTAACCTCTCTTTTTCAATATATATAGATTCATTATTCATCCACTCACATTATTTTAATTAACTATCACGTCAAATCATCATTCTCCTACTTTTACATCAAATCAATTTAATTATTTTATTTTAAATATTATTTTAATATACTCACTAATATCTAACCATATCATTTTTTCCCAAATTAACCAAATCAAATCAAAAAATCCAAACAAAACTAAAAATTTCCATAAACAAACATGTTAAATTCTACCAAACTCTATTTTAACCCACTCTATCTAAAGATTCTACCAAACTCTATTTTAATCCACACTATCTAAAAATGTTTGATTTTTCCGGCCAACGTATGCACGAGATTAATTACGAGTTGAAAAAACTATACTTTCACATAAGTTAACGATCTAGACCAATAGGACAAGTACTGATTCTGCTTAATATCTTCGTGTTTTACTTAATCATCCTATATTTCATATTACTAATAACATGATGTACTATAGTAATTAGTAATATGAAATATAGGATGATTAAGTAAAACACAAAGATATTAAGCAGAATCAGTACTTGTCCTATTGGTCTAGATCGTAGAAATTAACAACAGTTCTAGAAGTAAAATCATTTTAGGATCATTAGGTTTGTGACATGCATCAAAGGTTTATAAAATACTTGCATTATACTGATTGAATGTTTGATACGTAATACCCTAAGTTAATTTATGGAGCGTAGGCACATACATATAGACTGACTAAGGCTAGAGCGAAAGCTAAAAAAAATCAGGTACACCATAATTATGGCGAGTCGACCAGTATTATGGTTGTGTCGCTTCACAAGAATTTGTGTTTATGTTATTTATTTTATTTATGAAAACAAAAAACTACTATATATATATATGACGAGTCGACTCGTATTAAGTTGTGTCGCCTCACAATATGTTATTTATTTTATTAGGTAGCATAACTCATGATCTGAATACAAATTAGTTCTCGAAAACCATAAAGACCAAACTTAATTTGAAAATACGGTTAGAGTCTAATAATCTCATTTACTTTTCACATATTTTGATTACAAAAATATCACTGCAGGTCTTGTCATGATTTCAATTATCCTTATTAGGTTCTAAAATTCTCGTTTAAACATTACATTCCTAATATCACACATTATTATAAACATGTAACACCGCAAAATTGAAAGACACTTTTGTCATAAATTCAACAGTTAGCTCTATAATGAAGTCAATCTTCTATATACAATAAGTAAATCATACCATATTAATAAAATTATTAGTATTAATCTAAGTAATTAGAAACTAACAAAAATCATGTTTATGTCATTTATTTATTTAGGTAGCATAAGTGCTTAACTCATGATCTGAATACAAATTAGTTCTCGAAAACCATAAAGACCAAACTTAATTTGAAAATGTATAACACAGTCACAAGTTTTAATATAAAACCAAAAGTTGGCTCCATAGTGGAGCCAACCTTCTATATACAACAAGTAAATCATACTATATTAATAAAATTATTAGTATTTATTTAAATAATCAGAAAATAAGGTATGGTTTACTTGTTGTATATAGAAGGTCGACTCCAATATGAAGCCAACTGTTGGTTTCATAGCAAAACTGATTACAAAGATCGGTTTTGCTATAGAGTCATCGGATGGCTCGGCTTATGGAGACATCCATAGTTATCCATAAATGGTGTATTAACATGTGTCCTGCAATAAATACGCATTGGACACTTGTCAATAAATACACATTAGTCAAACAGTCCTGCAAAGTCCTATTTTTTAGTATTTATTTAATTATTTTGGTACTAAAAACAGTCAAAGGGTATTTTTTTTTCTTTTGAAAGAAGGCCGGAACCTATGTTTGCATACAAGAATTTTCAAAAAAATTCTAACATTTAAACTCGACCACTTTTTTTAACTCAACTTTAACTCAACTCTATTATCATCATTATTATCAATATAATTAACTAATATCAATAAATCATTCATACATACAACATCAACCTTAAATCATTATTCGTTCACCAAAAATGCTCCTTCCCCCTTCCAACCACATGAAATACTCCATGACGTGTCTTTTGACGTGGCAGTTAATTTTCCTTATTATTCGGCCAAGATAAAATCAGATTTTTATTAAAAAAATTCCTAATCTCTCTCTTTCCTCTTCTTTCGTTCTTCTATCTTCCCCAATTTTTTCATTTGTCCAATTTTTGTTCGCCTCCATTAGTCTCGTTCTTCCTCGGATTTTTTTCTCGATTTTAGTGGTCGAGTGCACTCTCTGATTTCCCAGCCTCAGATATCACGTTTTTTCTCCAAATTTTCTTGCCCTAGGGATGTATGTCTTCTCTTAATTTTTTTTCTTATTTCGAGATACTTTTTCGTTGCTAAATTTCCTCCTTCTCCGTTCATAATCTTTGTTTTCCCCAGATTTTTTTGTCGAGTTTCTTTGTCGAATGCAATTCCTTATTTTTTTGCCAAATTGACCAATTCTCCACCAGAAGCTTGAGCAGGGGCCGGAGGAAGAAAGCGTAGCGGTTGTCAAAGGCTTCGGCAGAGGGGAGGAAGGATCGTGAGAGGATGCCGAGAAAGTGGGAGGTGGAGACCTTGATGCGCGTGTGGAGACCAGCGGCTCTCAGGGAGGCGAACAGGTGACTCATGGCCGGGAACCACGAGTGAGGAGACGTTGTCGGGCGCCTCGGTGACCTCGGCCCGACCGTGGGTGGTGCGGGTGGCTTGGTACTAGGGAAGTATGGAGTTTTTGAGCCAGGTGTCGACGTTCAATGGGAATTGGGAGAAAGCGAGGAGGTCGGAGTTGGGGATGCCAATGGTGAGCTCGATGCCTGTGTTGGAAAAGGCCTTGAAGAATTAGTATGTATATTGACAATCAAAAGGAAAACTCAACTTTTAAAGGAAAAAAGAAAATTCTTTTTTCCCTGGGACTGAATAATCAATAAGGAAAAAGTTGATAACGTATATTGACACGTCAGGGAGTTATTTAATTGCGTGGAAATTGGAGGAGTATGTAGCGGTGTTGTTCATTCACTCACATTATTTTAACTAACCATCACTTCAAATTACATCTCTCATATTTTTACATCAAATCAGTTTTAATTATTTTATTTTAAATATTATTTTAATATACCCACTAACAACTAACCATATCATATTTTTTCAAAATTAACCAAACCAAACCAAAAAATCCAACAACACCAAAAATTTTTAAATCCAAACATGCTCTAAAAACCTCTAGGAAGGGGTAATATTAGTTTTTAACAAAACTCACGCATTGGTTTCTCTTAAATAGAGTTATTTTTATAAACTGAGGTGATTGTGAGCTCGACTCGGTTCAAATTGCACTCCGTCCAATTTGATAAATCAGACAAACTCAATATTATTGAAAACTAACTTGACTCGTTAAGTCATATTGAGCTCGAAAATAAGGACCTTTACATAATTTTTACAACTCTTAGACCTCGACCCATTAAGATTTGAATTCAGCTTGAGATCGACTCGTTATTTTTAATTAATTAATGAGTTAAACTCGAACCCACTTATGAGCTCGTTTTGTTAATGTGCCGAGCTTGAGTGTTTAAACTCAAAATTCCGAGCTTGTGCAACTGGAAGTAAGTCTTTTTTTTAGTGGATTGAATTTAGTGGATAAATTGAAATAAGATTGAAAAAATGTGAATGAATGAATTTTGAATTGAATTTTGAATTTGTGTTTAAGTTTGAGGTGGATGAACAGTAAATTTTGTTAGAATTATGTATTAATAATTGATCGATATTATTTAAATTTATTGATAATATTAAAAAAAGTTAATTTAGATTATAATTGAATTAGATTTTGAGTTAAATTTTAAAATCAAAAAAATTTTGTGAATTTGAATAAAAAAAATAATTTGATAATATTTGTTGTATAATAACCCATCGAAAAGTGAAAAATTAGCCGGATTCAAATTTCACAGTGATAAGTAACCAAAAGTGAAATTATCTCATACTCAGGGGTTCAAAGTGTAATTTTAAAACTTCCCCTTCCTATAATCGCAATCCAAACATTAACCGGATTATCTTCTATATTTTCATCTCTCATTTTCACTTCAAATTTGTTCTGTAAAATTGAGCTGAGCTTCAGAGCGCGCTTGGATCTGTGCGAGGAAGGCGAATGTCGGGCAAAGGTGCAAAGGGCTTGTTGACGGGGAAAACCCCAGCGGGGTCCAAGGACAAAGACAAGGACAGCAAGAAAAAACCGACCTCTCGCTCCTCACGCGCCGGTCTTCAGGTTTCTTCCTTTTTTTCCCCTATTTTTTTCCGGTTAATTTCACCGATCGGTCAATTTATTTGCTTTTCTTCCCTTTTGGTACTGTTTTTGTCTTCGGATTTACAATTTTTCATGTGGGGTTTTGCTGGGTCGGCTTAGAAGTTTATGGGGCGTCCTCTTCTGTACCTTTGCGTTTCGTTTTACTGGAATTTAGTTTCATTTTGGATCGGAATCGTTCTGTCTTTCGTAATCTTTTCGGTTGACCCACGGTGCTGCGAGTAATTCCGATCAATCTCTGCATGTTGTCGGTCGTGATTCATCTCGATGTTTGGGATCTTTGAAGTTGTTTTGTGAAGTTGTTGGTGTTCTAATAACACAGTCTAGGCTTGAGAATTGATGGATTTGCATTATATTCAATGTTAGATTAGATTGTTGGAGCTGAAGTGTGGTGGGTTTTTTCTTGGTGTTACTGATAGCTGAAACTGAAGCATAAGATGGATTTTCATTATATTCAATGTTAAATTAGATTGTTGGAGCTGAAGTGTGGTGGTTTTTTCTTGGTGTTATTGATAGCTGAAACTGAAGCATAAGAGAGCACAACACACGTGTTTGGCCAGAAATTTATTTATCTATTCATTCAATTGAGCAGTGACTTTGATTAGCTAAACCATTAAGGCTGATGAATAGAGTGCTAGATGTGACTCTTGAAATCCTTGTTACCTTATTTTTTGTTCAAGTTCATTGTTAGATGAGTGTTCTTACTGTTCTTTGTTAGTAGAATAAGCCCACTTGAGCTAAGGGAAAAAACGAGTATTTTCATCATTTATACTGCGAATGATGATTCGTACATGGATACAATTTGACATTACTCATTGGGACTGATGCTTTGATTGAAAGCTGAAACATTAGTTGGTGCATTATTTCTTAAACATATATTGAGCTTAGTGAGCTTCTTACAAGCTAGTTTCAAATTCACTGTCACGGCCATATTTGTATTATTGATGCGAAATTTCTTTTATGCTTTTACTTTTAACTCCCCCCAAAAACCTGAGATAGATGATAGATGAAAACTATTCGTACAAGCTGGATCCAAATCACGGTCACATCCCGTTGGTTAATCTTAAATGATTTGTGCAAAATGTCATCTTCTTTTACTTTACCCATCAACTGCGAATTTCTCTCTTCTTCGTTGAGGAATTTATTCAATATTTAGGATATTACGCATAGTTCATTAAACTTACCATTTATTTACTCTTCCTGTNTAGTTTCCAGTGGGACGTATCCACCGGCTTCTGAAGGAGCGAGTGATGGCTCATGGTCGTGTGGGGGCCACAGCCGCCGTGTACTCAGCTGCCATCCTGGAATACCTCACGGCCGAGGTTCTTGAGCTGGCTGGAAATGCCAGCAAGGACTTGAAGGTGAAGCGTATTACCCCACGTCATCTACAGCTGGCGATACGTGGAGATGAGGAGCTCGACACTCTCATCAAGGGAACAATCGCGGGTGGTGGCGTGATCCCTCACATTCACAAGTCGCTCATCAACAAATCGTCCAAGGAATGAAAATGCCAGGTGGCATCTGGTATATTCTGAAATGTAATTTGTTCTGATGAGTGTCATTGGAGGGTAACTTTATGTTTTTCAACCAAGGATTCTAAGGTTTTTAGGGTTTAGTAGGGTTTGTCTGTGTAATTTAACTGATAAAGTCGCTGGAGTTTGGATCTGTTTAAGGATTTGGATGAATGTGTATCAATGGTGACAATGAGCAGTGTTTGGTTTTGTATGATTTGTGAAGTTAGGGTTGTAGCCGATGTTCTTGCTTGGTATATAGAGCAGAGATATTAAACAAAACGAGCCGCTCATAAGCTCGGCTCGGCTTGTTGGATAAACGATTCGAGCTCGAACTCGCTTGAAGCTTGTTTCGTTAACGAGCAAGACTCGGCTCAACTCAATAAGGCTCGAAAAGTGAATTTTTATATAATTGTTTATAATTCGACTCGCTAAAGCTCGAGATCAATTTGTTAATGCTCAAATTCGACACATTAATATTGATAAACAAATTAAGCTTGAACCAGATTTTAGGCTCGTTTATTTAACAAGTCAAGCTTACATAAAACACAGCAGTTTTTTTTTTCTTTTTTTTTGCTTTTGCCAGTGTACTAAATGGAAATAGATTTATCGAAATGAAAAAATTCCATAGAAAATCAATCATACATATTCAAAAGACAAAATTAAAAGATAATAAAAAAAGGAAGCAAAAATGAAAATCCTTCATAAACGAATGGGTCACCACATGAATACAGAGATTCAAAACGCTTACATAAAACACAAAATCAAAACACCCAGCCAGAG